CTCCGCGGCCGGGATGGAGCGCGGTGCTCCCCGGTCCCCTCCGGTTCCTGCCTCCCCCGCCCGGCTCCTCGTGGCTCCCAGGAAGTTGAGGAGTTGTCTGGGAGCGCCGTGCCCCGCTGGGAGAAGTTGCGTTTCTCCCTTCGCTGCGTTCCTGTCGCTCCCCGAGCGCTGCGCGCACCGAGCAGCTCCGAGCTCTTGGCACGCCGGGCTCTTTCTCCCCGCGGCGGAGCGGGATGCGCTTCCAGGCCGGCTCCTTTGGGAGCCCACGCCGTGGCCCGAGCGCTGTCCCTCCGAGATGTGTCGGGAGCAAGGCTCTCGCCTCTGCGGGGACTGTGATGCTCATACAGATGAGGCTTTCCCCGCTCGCCGGGATCCATTTCCTCCTGCGCTCCTTCCGTCCCTCTCGAACAGAGGGGGATTGTTCCCAGCTGGTGCCTCCAACATCCGCGCTGGGACTGAACAGGACCAAACCCCGCTGAGGTTTGGGCAGGGCTGTGCCGAGAGGGCCGCTCAAGAGTTTAAAGATGTTGCGTTTGGTGCAAAAGGTTTCATTTCGGGGTTGCGGCTCAGAAAACTTTACTGGCACGAACGAGTGTTTGTCTGGGGGAAAGGAAAGAATAAATCTGTCTATTCAAACTGGAAACGTGAAGTTCAATGCCCACCACGGTTCTTGGGCTGGATTGATTGTGAAGAACAACTTTTTGTAGAAACCCACAGCTAAACCTCATAAAGCGAGCAGAAAGAAGGGAGTTTCTGGGGTTGAGTAAAACCCAAGCCAGCTGTAGGAATTAATTTTAAATTCTGTGTGTGTATCCCTAGAAAAGCAGAGCTTGACTTTTAAAAATGGTTAGAAAATCCCGGTTACACCGTGTGGGATCCGTGGATAATTCCAGCGCTGAGGATGCAGGACAAACAGGGAAGCAGAAATGCCACTGATGGCAGTCGCTCGTTAAGTTTCCAAATTATCTGCCTGGTGGTGTGGGATGGCTATTTTGGAATGACACAATTGTCACGTAGCCTAAGCTGATGTTACAACCTCAGTGACCCTCGAAAGCAAGTTCCTCTTTTGCAGGAACTCTGCTGCTGTGCTGGGGTTGACTGGGGCCCAGCTTTCCAGGAATGTCTTTAAATTGATTTGAAAATGACATGGGAGAAAAAACCCCATGTGAAAGAGACCTGATTGTTTTACATCATAGTTCAAGTGTATTTCTGTGTCCGGTGTGGGGAGTTGAATGTGTAGTAAGAAAACTGGATTTAAATTTAATTTAAGAATAAAAAAACCCTCCCAGTTTGAAAAAGCACAGGATGATGTTGGTGTTTTTTTGTGTCCACTGCTCTGCAGAGAAGTTTGTAATGGTCTTTTAATAGGTTTGTATTTCTCTCATAGTTTGTTTTCTTTTTCTTGCAAGGAGGCTGAGATCCTTGCCAAACTGGGGGATTTCTCTGCTGAATGACAGGGATGTGAGGGTTGGAAGTGGATGAAGTGTCGCAAGGAGATAAATCAGATTTAGAGCTAGTTGAACATTCACTGGCCTGTGCCATTCACTTATAGGCTGCTTTGGGAGGGATGGTTACTTTTTGGTGTCCTCCTAAAGAAAATGAATATCCAGTTTGTTTCTATGTGTTTGATGGACCTTTATGTTGTTAAGAAAGGGCACTGTGAGTCTTCTGATGTTTTATTTTTTGCTGCTTGTGAAAGCTGGAGGTTGTGCAGAATTGGTGCAACAGTTGTGTGGTCCCAAGCAGAATTGGAGATGGCACTGTTAACCTGAAAATTCAGGCTTGAGAGTATTTTTCTTCTTATTTCCCATGACCAGACCTGGGGGCTGATGTTGACTCAGTGTTGTCTGACAGGGAGAAAATCCCTGATAGGAATGCTGATGGGACTTGGTGAAACATAATGTGCAGTGCTTAGTGTGTCTCATCAATGCAAATATCTCCAAAAGGATGGTGCCAGACTCATTCCAGTGGTGCTCAGTGACAGGGTGAGGAGCAATGGCCAGGAGAAGTTCCACCTCCACACGAGGAAGAGCTTCTTTCCATGAAGGTGGCAGAGCCCTGGAACAGCTGCCCAGGGAGGGTGTGGAGTCTCATCCCAACCCATCTGGATGTGTTCCTGTGTCACCTGCTCCAGGTGACAGGTGGGATGCACTGGATGATCTCCAGAGGTGCCTTCCAACCCCAAATATTCTGGGATTCTGTGTGCAGGCTTCCCCAAAGCAGAGATATGGGGAAGGTGTGTTGTTGTGGTTGTGTTATGCCACAGCAGTGGGAGCTCAGAAATGGACGTATGTCTATTTACAGAGTTGTGTAGATATAAAATTCACACATGTGCTTATATAATACATTTATATCCCTTTACCCCTTCCTCTGGTATATCCCTGTGCACAACAAGAGCTTTCTTAACATCTCATAGACCTGAAGATTTGCTGGCTGTAAGGCAGCTGGAACAAATTATGCCAGAAGGCTGTAGGGACAGCTGGTAGGACACAGGTGTGTTAAGGAGCACTGCCCCCATGGCCCAGTAGGGTTTGGGGGTGCTGCTGGATGCCCTGCATGCCTGTAAAGTGAATTTGCTGCCCCGAGCCTCTGTGCAGAGGCATTATCTCAGCAGGCAGTTGAGAGAGTGACTCAGCTCCGCTTCCTGAGAGAGTTCAGCATGCGGGAGGCTGCAGGAGGAATGGGTGTGGATCTAATGGGATAATCCGGATATTGGATTAACATATGGGGAGCTGAGCGAAACAGGGAAATGATCAGCTTCACTGGAGGAGCTTTTCCCTGCTCCCAGTGCTGTGGATCCTTCTTCATCTCAATCCTGCCTTTCATCCCTCGCCCTGTGCTGGTGAGGAGGAGTGTGGTTGTGTGGAGGGGAGCACTTGGGTGTGTGGCTTCCTCCACGGGGACATCTGAGGCTTCCAGAGAGTCCTGGGAGCTGTTCTTGTCCTCTCGGTGTCCCAAAGTGGCAGTGGAGTGTGGCTGTTCCATCACACCTTCCCTGCTTTGAGTGTGATGTGAAATTTGTAATTTTGGCGCTTTCCTTTCTGCTGGGGAAAAGGGATGTAAAGAGCTGCTCTGGGAAGTCTGGGAGCCTGACTAGCACCTCTGAGATAGTGCACAGTGGCTGTGATAGCTTCCAAATCCTAAATTCTGCTGTTCTTTGCCTCTTTTCCTTTGGGCTGAGGACTGCAGTGAGAGGTAAAACTGCAGCTACTGTGGTTCCTGCAAATAC